TGCCGTGGGTGTGGAATGATTTGCTGCTGCTGCAGCAACAGCAGCACCAAAACTGCACATTTGTCTCATTTGTTTAAGCGGCAGCAGCGTCTGTCTATCTTTGTTTGGGCTGGAGTGGCTCTTGCTGCTGCTGCAGCCGCTGCAGGAGCTGCTGCTGCTGGTGCTGCTGCGCGTCTGCTTGTGTGCGGGCGCAGCAGCCCAGCAGCGGCGGCGCCCTTGCCCTCCGCCGCACCCCCATCATCCCCACGAGCAGCAGCAGCAACTGCAGCAACAGCAGCAGCAGCAGCAGCAGCAGGACCATGGAGGAGGCCCCGTTCCCCGGGCGGGCTGCTTCGGGCGACTGGAGCTCGAAGCTGCAGGCGCTGAAGCTGCGCATGAAGAAAGCAGGAGTTGCTATTGCTGCTGCTGCTGCTGAGGGGGCCCCCCAAGAAGCAGCCTTAGGCTCTCCTGGGGCCTCCACGTCTGCTGCTGCTGCTGGCGCTGTGACCCCAGCAGCTCCTGCTGCTGCTACTGCTCCTGCTGCTGCAGCAGCAGGGGGCCTTGCGCGGGACGGCCGCCTAAAACCGCCGCCAATCCAGAGGCGGCAAGTGCAGCAGCAGCAGCTGCTGCAGCCTGTGCCGCAGCAGCAGCAGCAGCAGCAGCAGCGAGGGAACCCCGTCAAGAAGGTCCCAGGCACTGCGCAGGGGCGGTTGCTGCAGCAGCTGCAGCACGCGCTGCAGCAGCCGCCTCCTCCCCTCGTGCAGCAGCAGCAGCAGCTACAGCAGCAGCAGCTGCTGCTGCAGCGGACGTCAGCTCCTCGAATGGCTTCTACACCAGCTGGCCGGGCACCTTCGCCCGGCTTTGAGTCCATGTCTGCTGCTGCTGCTGCTCCAGTTGCAGCTTCAGCTGCGGCTGCTGCGTCCCCCAGCTTTGCTGCTGCAGCAACAGCAGCACCTGCTGTGTCACAGTCGTTTGCTGCTGGCAGCAGCGATTTCGATGCGCCCATGTCCTTTGAAGAGCTGATGCGGAGAAAGCGGGAAAAGGAGCAGCAGCAGCAGCAGCAGCGGCAGCAGCAGCAGCAGCAGCAGTACCTGCAGCGAGAAGCAGGCAGCAACACTCCCCGGCGGCTTTCTGACCCCACAAGCTCTACAGCACAAGCAGCAGATCCGAAGACCAGGCGGCAGCAGGATCTGCAGCAGCAGCAGCAGCAGCAGCCTCAGCAGCAGCAGCCACAGCAACAGGGGACGCAGGTAGTGCAGGTGCAGCCAGGAGTCGCCCAGCAGCAGAACAAGCTGCAGCAGCAGCAACAGCAGCAGCAGCAGCAACAGCAGCAGCAGCAGCGCTCTGTGACTGCGAAGGTTGCAGGGCAGCCGCAGAGGCCCATTCCCTCAGCAGCAGCAGCAACACCAGCAGCACCCGCTGCAGCAGCGCCAAAAACCGTGCCGGCGAGACAGCCGTTACAGCAGCACATGCAACAGCAGCAGCAGCAGCAGCAGCAGCACCAACAGCAGCAGCAACGGCGACCCCCAGTTCAGCCGCAACAGCCACAGCAGCAGCAGAAGCAGAGGCCTGTGGTGCAGCAGCAGTGGCAGCAGCAGCAGCAGCAGCAGCAAACGCGACAGCCTCCACCGCCTCCACCGCTGCAACAGCAGCAGCAGCAGCAGCAGCTACAGCAGCAGCAGCCGAAAGCTGGTGCAATCTCCCCCGCTGCCAAGGCGTCGCCTGCTGTTCACCTCGTGCAGCCGCCGCAGCAGCAGCTGCAGCAGCAATTACAGCATCCGCAGCATCCGCAGCAGCTGCAGCAGCAGCAGCATCCACAGCAGCTGCAGCAGCAGCTTCCTGGTGCTGCAGTGCTTCCCCAGCGGCAGCAGTTTCCTGCAGCAGCAGCTGCTGTTCCCCGTCAACAGCCTGTGAAGGCCAAAGCTGCAGCAGTACGTGCTGCACCCAAGGCTGCAGCAACAGCAGCAGCAGCTGCACCTGCAGCAGCAGCAGCACCTCCAGTAGCAGCAGGGGTACGCCCGATACCCGCAGCAGCACCTGCAGCGACAGCGGGACCTCGACCAGCAGCAGCACCCGCCGCAGCAGCAGCTGCTGCAGCAGCACAGGGGAGGCCCCAAATGTTCAAGGCAGCAGCTGCTGCTCCTGTGTCTCAGTCAGCTCCTGCTGCAGCACCTCCTTTGGTGGGTGCAGCAGCAGGAGCACGGCTGCACCCGCAGCAGCAGCAACAGCATCAGCTGCAGCAGCAGCAGCTGCAACAGCAACAAAGGCAGCAGCAGCTTCAACTGCAACAGCAACAGCAAAGGCAGCAGCAGCTGCAGCAAAAGCAGCAGCTGCAGCTAAGGCAGCAAGCTCCCCGCACAACTGCAGCAGCACCTCCGGTCCCCCCTGCGCCTGTCTCTTTGCCTAAAGCAGCAGCAGCAGCACCTCAGCAGCAGCAGCAGCAGCAGCAGGCTGTTTTGCCAACGCAGCAGCAGCAGCAGCAGCAGCCTGTGCGACCCTTGGAGCTGCAGCAAGCAAAGATGCCCCCGCAGCCGCCGCCTCCGCAGCTGACGGCAGCTCCAGTGAAGCAGCAGCAGCAGACAGCCAAAACTGTGCCCAGGCCTCCTCAGCAGCAGCAGCAGCAGCAGCAGCAGCCGCGTGCGCCAGTGACAGTTGCTGCTGCTGCTGCGCCGCAGCAGCAAAAGCCACGAGCCGGCTTTCCGTCACAGCAACAGCCGAGCGCTCCTGCAGCGAAGGCCCAGCCGCAGCTGCAGCAGCAGCAGCAGCAGCGGCAGCGCGTGGTAACAGCACCAGCAGCAGCACAGCAACAGCCGCAGCAGCCGCACCGGCAGCAGCAGCCACAACAGCGGCAGCAGCCGCAACAGCAGCAGCAGCAGAAGCAGCCGCAGGGCACAGCAGCAAAAGCAGCGCCATTGAAGTCTCCTTTTCAGGGCCTGCGCTCTTCGCTTCAAGACCCGTCAGCAAGCTGTGTCTTTGCTGCTGCTGCTTCTGCTGCTGCTGAAGTCTTAGCTTTTGCTGCTGCTTCTGCTGCAGCAGCTGCCACTGTTGGATCTGCCGCTGCCCCGACCTCTGCGCTAGATGCAGCACCCCCCTGACTCCCCTTAGGTGCAGTGTGCGCCGCTCCTAGCAGCAGCAGCCGCTGCTGCTGCTGCTGCTGCTGCATGCGCTGCTGTGTGTGTGTGTGGGGTGTACGTACACCGCAGGGAGCAGCAGAAGCTCGCCGAATCCTTAGCTGCGAGCTGCTCAGCTTTTGCCCCACTGAGGGGCCCCCTGTGGCCCTGGGGCTGCGGCTCTTTAGAGGCCCTGGTGAAGCAGCTGCAGCAAGTAACTGCAGCAGCAGACTCGAGGCTTGCTGTGGCTGCTGCTGCTGCAGCGCCGACCGTCGAGGCTGCGGTGGCCGGCGCGGAGCAGCAGGAGGACCCGGTGTCGCCGCTGCTGCAGCGCCGCCAAAGGCAGCACACCGAGCTGCAGCAGCAGCAGCAACAGCAGCAGCAGCAGCAGCAGCAGCGCACGTCGGCGTTTGCTGCACTGCTGCCGCTGCTGCGGGCGGCAGCAACTAAGGCAGCTGCCCTCGCAAGGGATCAATTGTCGTTTATTGATGTGTTTGAATCAGCAGCAGCAGCTACAGCAGCAGCAGCACCTGAGGGAGCAGCAGCAGGAGCTGCTGGAACGCCACCCACTGTGCAGCAGCTGCAGCAGCAATCTGCAGATGTAGTTGTCCAGCTGCTGGAGGCGTTTACGCTGCAGCAGCAGCAGCAGCTCAAGTCGCTGGACATGCGGTTTGCTGCCGTCGCAGGCAAACGACTCCTCGTGACAGATACTCCACCTGCTGCTGCTGCTGCTGCTGCTGCTGCTGCGCCGCCTGTAGCAGCATCAGCACCTACAACTGGAACGCAGCAGCCCCTAGCCAAGAGGCCCAAGCATGCGCCTGTTTCTGTGCCTCCAGCAGGAGCATAGGGGGCACCAAGAGTAGCAGCAGCAACAGCAACAGCAGCAGCAGCAAGGTCCTGTGCTGCTGCTGCTGAAGCATTCGCTGTGCCAATCTCTGGTGGTGCAGCAACAGAGTGCAAAACAGCAGCAGCAGCAGCAGAGCAAGCCGCATATCGGCTTTGAGGCGAAGCCTCCGGCAGCAGCAGCAGCAGCAGCAGCAGCAGCGTATGGTCTTGCTGCAGCTGCTGCTGCTGCTGTTGCTGCTCTTCCGCCACGTGAAGCAGTGGGGTGTAGATACACCTGAAGCCTTCAGCTCGAAGCCACTGCAGCAACAGCAACCATTTAACTTTTGCTGCCCTGCAGCACTACACTAGTCAAACATCCAGAACTGGGTTTGCAGCAGCTGCTGCTGCAGTGACTGTTACTGCTGCTGATGCAGCTGCTGCTGCTGAAGCAAGTGCAGCAGGGGCGTCTGAGTTCTGGGCTGCACGAGGGAAAGGGGCCACAGGCCCAGCAGCAGTAGCCAAGGCTGCTGCTGCTGCTGCTGCTGCTGTTGGTGCGTATCTGCTGCTGCGGCTAGCCTTGTGGACAGCCACGGGTAGGCAGAGGCCTTAGGGTTTAGGGTTTAGGGTTTAGGGTTTGTCTGCTGCATCTGAAGGTTAAAGTTTTCGGAGTTCTGTCGATCCTTAAAGTCTGGCGCCGCCAAGGGCTTTGCTTTAGGCGGGCCAGTATTAGGGTTTAGGGTTTAGGGTTTATATCTTAAACTTTAGCAAGAAACGATTCACGTTTAGCACTACGGAAGCTGCTGCTGCAGCAACTCCCGTTGCTGATGCTGCTGCCACTGCAGTTGCTGCTGCTGCGGCTAATTCTACTCAAGTGCGGCTGCACTGCGGTCGCTGCAGAGCAGTGCCTCTGTTGTTGCTCCTGCATGCAGCAGTAGCCGCTGTTGCTGCTGCTGCATGCAGCAGCAGCAGCAGCGGCGTGGACAAGCCCGCCAAATGCTGCTTCCCTCTTGGGCCTATTGCCCTGTGTGCTTCGTCCCCCCACAGCCCCCAGCAGCACTAGTAGCTGGGGGGAGCAGCAGCGCCTGCAGCAGCAGCAGCAGTGGTGGGAGCAGCAGCAGCAGCAGCCGCTGCTGCTGCTGCTTGGGGCCCCGAACGCGTAGCTGAATGTAAAGAGCTGCAGGGGGCCCCCACAAGAATGGGGGAGGGCCCCGAGGGCCCCGGCAGCAGCCAAGAAACCCCTGGGAGGGGCTGAGTTGCATGCATTCCAGGGACATAGCAGACGCCCATTTGCTGCTGCTGCAGGAGCAGCTGCTGCTGCTCCTGCTGCTGCTGCTGCTGCTGCTGATGGTAATGCTGGTGGCTCCAGTCGGCGGGGCCGTAGCGAGAGCCCTCGTGCTCGCTCGTGCTGCACTTGGACTGCCGCTGCTGCTGCTGCTGCTTCGGCTGTCCTTGTTTCTGCTGCTGCTGCTGCTGCGCCGGATGCTGCTGCTGCTGCTGCTGCTGCTCCTCTGCTTGCTGCTGGCGCAACAGCCGCCGCTGCCGACGAGAAAGCCTCTGGCCTGGGGTGCTGCTGCTGCAGCAGCAACTGCTGCAGCTGCTGCTGCTGCTTCTGCCTGTGGTCCCCGTCGCCCACCTTGCTGCGGCGCCAATGCTATCTCCGCCGCTTCCCTGGTTTATCTGTGCAGCCTGATTGCTGCTGCTGCTGCTACTGCTGCTGCTGCTGCTGCTTGGTGCGTCTGCAGCACCAGTGCAGTGATCCGCGCTGCTCAGTGACCCCAGTGAGGGGAGGGTTTCCAGGTGCGCTGCTGCTCTGTCGACTATGTTGCAGCAGCTGCTGCTGCTGCTGCTGCTGCTGCTGCTGCTGCTCGTGCTGCCACTGCTATTCGGCAAAATCTGCAGCGGCTGCAGCGTGTGCTGCTGCTGCTGCTGCGGCGGCGACACAGCTAAGTCGCTTAAATCGTAGTTCCAGCCAACGCCTTTGGCTTCAGCAAGAAGTGCCTGCAGCTGCAGATCAAACACTTGGTCTCCTTGGCAGCTGCTGCTGCTGCTGTTGCTGCTGCTGCTCCTGTTGCCGCTGCTGCTGCCCATCGGAACTGAAGACATGCCTGAGATGCTCGTCGTGCGGCCGCACGTGCTGTTGCTTCGCGTGCATGGCACAAAGCCAGACTGCTGCTGCTCCTGGTGCTGCTGCTGCTGCTGCTGGTTCTGCAGCAGCAGATGCGGATGCTGCAGGTCTTGCTGCTGCAGTGCCGCTAAAAGGGCTGTTTGTTGGTGAAGAAGTTCCTTCGGATCCAGGTCGTCACTTTGCTGCTGCTGCAGCTGCTGCAGCTGCTGCAACTGCTGCAGCAGCAGCTGCTGCTGCTTCAGCGTTTTTGGATCTGCTTCGTGGCCTGGCGGGACCGTCAGCAGCGACCGTTGCTGCTGCTGCCCCTCCTGCAGCAGCAGCGAAACAGCAAAGGCGAGGTCATCCGTCGTATCCGGGAGAGCCTGCTGTTGCTGCTGTTGCTGCTGCTGCTGCTGCATTTGCTGCTGCTGCATTTGCTGCTGCTGCAGTTGCTGCTGCTGCAGTTGCTGCTGCTGCAGCTGCTGCTGCTGCAGCTGCTGCTGCTGCAGTTGCTGCTGCTGCAGTTGCTGCTGCTGCAGTTGCTGCTGATGCAGTTGCTGCTGATGCAGTTGCTGCTGTTGCTGCTCTTGATTGCCACAGGTTTGCTGCTGCCAGTGCTGATACGTGAGAGCAGCAGCTGGTACAGCTTGCTGCGGCTGCATCGCAGCTACTGCGTGAGCTGCTTGGTGCAGAGCCGCGGCATCCCCCTCTCCTGCTGCTGCTGCTACCGCTGCTGCTGCTGCTGCATTTGCTGCAGCGGCTGCTGCAGCATGATGGGCAGCAGCGCGCAGCAGCAAAGCAGTAAGGTCGTTTCTGCTGCCTGTCCTCGCTGCTGCTGTCACCGATGGGACAGGCGCACCATAGCCCCCGGCAGAAGGCTCCAAGAAGCCAAGTTGCCCATGCTGCTGCTGCTGTTGCTGCTGCTGTTGCTGCTGCTGTTGCTGCTGTTGGTGCTGCTGCTGCAGGCTGGGTTGCTGAATAGGCAGTGGACACAGTGGGGCGAATTGCGGCTGCTGCGGCTGCTTTTCGAACTGGGGAACCGAAGGCGGCACGGGAGCAGCAACAGCAGCAGCAGCAGCTGCTGCTGCTGCTGTTGCTGCTGGAATGGGGAAGCTGAGAAGGCCCGGAGATGCCTCCTGGCGGTCGCTAGGCTCGTCTGCATCAGTTGCGTCGACGGGAACAGCAGCAGCAGCAGAAGCAGCAGCAGCTGCTGCAGCTGCTGTTGCTTCCCGGGCCTGCGAGGAGTTCCTACGAGTCTCATCTTCCCTCCGGCCCAAAATATCGAGAGAGGACTCTCTCTGCAGCAAGACAGAAGCAGCAGCAGCAGCAGCAGGAAATACCAGCGCAGCAGCAGCAATTAAAGACAAAATCAACAGCAGCAGCACTGCAGAATTATGGCAAAACGCCTTGCCGCTGCAGCTGTTCCGCAGCTGCAGATGCAGCACGAAGACCCTTGCAGCACCTGAATGCCCCTACTTCAGCAGCAGCAACCGCAGCAGCAGCAGCAGCAGCAGCAAGTGCGTACCTCAGCACTGTAGGCCTTCGAGCCGAAGCAGCGCCTCACGAAGGCAGAAAGGGCATCATCTACAGTCAGCTCTGCAGGCCTTGGAAGCCGTGCAGCAGCAGCACTAGGCCCTGCTGCTGCTGCTGCTGCTGCTGGCGAAGCGCTGTCCTCCGGCCCTGCTGCTGGGCCGTTGCAGTCGTCCCTGGCCGGCCCCCTGGGGCCCTCCCTGCTGCTGCTGCTGC